TTTAAAACCGTCCATCCTCTCTGCCGCACCCTGTATTATGTTATCACTGAGATACATGACATAACATTCAAAAACCATAGTATCTTATTTTCTGAACTTTTCGCGATTCCACAATATCAGTCGCGAAGGAAAAAACAGTAACACACTAGAACAGACACAGGAATATAGTTTGTCAGCCTTTTCTATACTATTACTATCATCTGTAGCTTGTGGAAGCTGTAGAGAGATGCCACCCACTCTTCTTCATGGTACATGTGCCGTTTGCTGAACCGTGATTTTAACTATATACTGAAAACTAATAATATAATATTTTTCTCAGGTCTCGAACCCACAAACTATGCTAATGTAATTTGATGTGTACTGATTCTGGTAAAATGCTGTTGTCCAACTCACGGATTGAGTGTCTTTCCATAATAATGGTTCCTCAAACCATTGACATACGACAGACTCCCTCTAAATGCCATATGCCAATGTGGAGGACTAACTATAGGGTATGTGTATGTGTTGGTCAAATTAAGCGCATTTGTGATTCAACAGTGCCTGGGTTATTAGATTTATCGAGGATAAAAATACTGTCGCTTGAAAAGTCGGCCACAGCTCTCAGACATTCGCTGAGCTCTATGCATGTTAAAGACCCGCTCGATGCTCATCCCAAACGTGCTCAGCTTAAGAAAGATTTATCGCGATGGAAAGTGTAGGATTCGTTTCCGGGGCGTGTTCTGCAGGCAGGAAAGCTATAAGTGAATGAGAAAAATGGACCCGTCCTGATGACCAGAATTTCCACCGAGGACTTCTGTTCCACGCCGCGACATACGCAGGTTGGATATTCAGCTTGCTCGTTACACAGTAGGAACAGTGATATCGTGATGAACATGGAATACAACAAACCAGCATATACAGGGTGTCCCAGAAGTCGACGTCAAGCCGAAACCGGGTGATAGGCAAAGTCACAATAGCTATCAGAAAAATTTTATGTATGTATTTTGAAAATTATAGGTCTTTGAAAAAGATATAGAAATTTCACACCCTACGGCAGTCTGTCAACTCCTGTTACTACAAATATTAACTTTTTTTGGATTTTATTTTTACAATGTAATGATGAATAATGCATCTTCAAACTGGTGTCTCAACCTTACTGCCAACTTTTCTCGTTCAGGAAAAATTGCCACTTATTTCCCAACCAAGTATTCCAAAGTAAAACTTTGTTCAACTTTAACTGGCTGTTAAGTTGGCGCATTTAATAACGATTCCAAAATGGTATAACACTTAGAAGATTACTCGTTAACTTATGCACAATTTTTATTTGAAAAAAAACTGATGAAAATTTTTCAAAATTTCCTAAATAAACAGCGATTATGAAAACGCACAAGGACCCTTAAGGATAACTGTTTGCACAACAGTGGGCGTCAAAATGCTGCTGATGATGATTTACCTTTACAGCAAATGCTCAAACTGTGTTCCTTCACCCGCAATACACGCTCGACATCTTCTTAAAAAAGATCGGGTTATTAAACGAGCGAATCCACGGTTATTAACAAACTCAGCTGCTTCCAATAGTCTTTGCCGTAGCTCAGCTACATTTTGAATCGGCTTGAAATACACTTTTTCTTTCACAGTTCCCCAGTAAAAAATCTAAAGGATTCAAATCAGGTGATCGGGCTGGCCACGGTATTGTACCAGACCGCCTTATCCATCTTCCTGGAAAGTTTTGATTGAGATACTCTCTCACTGAGAGTGCATAGTGCGCTGGGCATCCATCATGCTGAAACCACATGTCCCTGTAAATACTCAGTGACACGTCCACCAATAAATTTTGTACATGATTTTTCAAAAAATCCAAATAAACTTCAGCAGTCAAAGTCTCTGGGAACTCAAACGGACCGATTATTTTACCATTTAAAATTCCTGTCCAATGGTTTATCTTGAAGCGATATTGAGATTTATCTTCTCTCATCAATTGTGGGTTTGCTACGTGCCACTCGTGTAAGTTATGCAGGTTTATGTACCCATCTTTCTTAAATGTGGTCTCATCCGGCCATAAAATTTGTTCAAAGAACTGTGGATCTTTCCTGTGTCCTTCTCACATTGTGCGACAAAAACTCGGGGCTCATAATCCCGGGGCAGGAGAGGTTGAACACGCTGTATGTGGTATGGATGAAGCACATCACTTACTTGCTATTGCACACTTTGATACCGATCAGTACTCCTTCGTTTACTGCGCATCTTACATGTTCGTGCTTGTTGATTTCGCACTGTTACTAATTTTGGATTCGTAAACTGGACTGTTGATCGCTTGTGATTTGGATTTGGACTGTTTAATTGCTCTTCAAAACAACATTTGCTTTCCTTAGACTATCTTTGATAGTTTGATTGTGCAGTGCCGCTATGTCCATGTACACCGTTCATGCACCTCATTTATGGGGAATGCAGATGCAACGCTAGTGCTGCAGCGAGACTTTATTGTGAGAGGTACCCGAATGCAACTCGTCATCCAGATCATCGAGTGTTCACAAATGTGCACCGCTTACTGTTCTCAGAGGGCCAACTACCAAACCAATCACACGGTGAGGGAAGATCTTTCCCTCCTTACGAAGACGTGGTGCTAGGAGCTGTCGAAGAAGACCCGAGTACTTCAGTGCGTGTAATAGAACTAAACACAGGTGTGCCCAAAAGTACAGCCCATAGAATCTTGGAAAAAAACGTGCTCCATCCATACCACGTACAGCGTGTTCAAGCTCTTCTGCTCCGGGATTATGAGCCCCGAGTTGCTTTTTGTCGCACAATGTTAGAAAGACACAGAGAAGATCCACGGTTCTTTGAAAAAATTTTATGGTCAGACGAGACCACATTTAAGAAAGATGGGTACATGAACCTGCATAACTTACACGAGTGGCACGTAGCAAACCCACATTTGATGAGAGAAGATAAATCTCAATATCGCTTCAAGATAAACCATTGGACAGGAATTTTAAATGGTAAAATAATCGGTCCGTTTGAGTTCCCAGAGACTTTGACTTCTGAGGTTTATTTAGCTTTTTTGCAAAATCATTTAGAAAATTTATTGGAGGACGTGCCACTGAGTATTTACAGGGACATGTGGTTTCAGCATGATGGCTGTCCAGCGCACTATGCACTCTCAGTGAGAGATTATCTCGATCAAAACTTTCCAGACAGATGGATAGGGCGGTCTGGTACAATACCGTGGCCAGCCCGGTCACAAGATTTGAATCCGTTAGATTTTTTTTACTGGGGAACTGTAAAAGAAAAAGTGTATTTCAAGCCAATTCAAAATGTAGCTGAGCTACGGCAAAGACTATTGGAAGCAGCTGAGTTTGTTAATAACCGTGGATTCGCTCGTTTAATAACCCGATCTTTTTTAAGATGTGGAGCGTGTATTGCGGCTGAAGGAAAATAGTTTGAGCATTTGCTGTAAAGGTAAATCATCATCAGCAGCATTTTGACGTTGTGCAAACAGTTATCCTTAAGGGTTCTTGTGCGTTTTCATAGTCGCTGTTTAATTAGGAAATTTTGAAAAATTTTCATCAGTTTTTCTTCAAATAAAAATTGTGCATAAGTTAACGAGTAATCTTCTAAGTATTATAGCATTTTGGAATCCTTATTAAATGCGCTTTTAAGGTTACTTGCCAAACTCTCGTAGTACATTTTTTTCCAGTACAGCCAGTTAAAGTTGAGCAAAGTTTTACTTTGGAATACTTGGTTGGAAAATAAGTGGCAATTTTTCCTGAACGAGAAAAGTTGGCAGACACCGGTTTGAAGATGCATTATTCATCATTACATTGTAAAAATAAAATCCAAAAAAAGTTAATATTTGTAGTAACAGGAGTTGACAGACTGCCGTAGGGTGTGAAATTTCTATATTTTTTTCAAAGACCTATATATTTATGACTTTGCCTATCACCCGGTTTCGGCTTGACGTCGACTTCTGGGACACCCTGTATGTACCTGATAGATTTGAAGAAAGCGTTTGATAGAGTGAGAATTCGGGACACGATACATTTATTATATGACAGGGGAATACCGCTGGATTTAGTAAAAACTATTGAGAATATACATAGAGATAAAATACACATGGTAAGGTGTAAAGGAAAACTCTCGCAACCTATCAAGTATGACAGTTTCATACTATTTAGAAATTAGACAAGGAGATTCGCTGAGCCCACTAATATTTAATCTGATAAAGGATGAAATCATAAAAAAATTTAAAAAAGAAGAGGATATAGAATGTGTTGAGGATAGGTAAGCACAGCAGTTCAACTCGCAGTGGTCTTCGGTTCAGAACAGTTTATTGAGTACTTGTACATGAATGTGTAGATACGCGACAGGTGTATACCGGGCTTCCGCGTTACGCGCGCGAGCGTGGCTGCTGTTGTTCTTCAACTGCTTCCTACGACTGACTCTTTACGACTGACTGCAACCCTAGTGCGGCGCGCGTGGACCGACGGCTGTTATGGTGCGTTTCCATGCTTGCCAAGGCTTGACAAGCAACCACAAGGCACAAGCGTCCACAAACCTCGCTTGGCATTTGGAAGTCGTTTACACGCTTGTGAATGCGTCAGTGTGCTACGTACATCCAAGCATGGCGGACACCGAACTTGTATCGGCTATTACGTTTGGTTTAACCTACTTTTATTTCAAATATAAGCCAAGTAAAACAAAATCAAGGAAAGCCCGACGAAGATGGTGGATGATAAAGACTCATAGAAATCGTACCAGGTAACTAATAAGTTTTTCAGTTTATTTATTTATTTTATACTTTATTGTACACTGTAGTTATTAGGATTTGCAAGGTACATGATATATAATTAACAGTGAAAACTACAATGGGCGGCCTTATTGCTAAAAGCAATTTCTGCCAGGCAACCTTTTTACCTATGTCTATGTTATCAATATATAATTATTATGTAGGTAGGTATATTAAAGTGCAATAAAGTATATAAATAAAAATAAATTAACATAATAATTGCTTTAATTTGTTACAGCCAATTTATAGAAGATAAATTTAATGAACTTCTATATGAACCATCTGGAGAGTTCGATAATTTCTGCCGAATGAGTTATGCTGATTTTGAGTTTTTGCTGCAGAAAATTTTACCAATGATTTACAAGCATGATACCGACTTCAGAGAAGCTATACCAGCTAAATTTCGTCTTGCCATAACGCTACGATTTTTAGCATCTGGTGATTCTTACAAAAGCCTACACTACTTGTTTAAAGTATCTGTCCCTATGATATCAAAAATCATTCGTGAAGTTTGCCAAGCTCTTAATGAAGTTTTAAAGGATCAAGTTAAGGTAAGTGGTAAAATAAAACAACTGTTATTATTTATTTATTCAGATTTTAATAAGAAATCTGTTGCATGTAATTAGTTGACTGGTATTTACTTATCATTTAATTATTAAGTAGCTTCAAATAAGAACTATCCCGATGACTGAAAATCTTCGAAAGTTTTCAGTAAAGCCTCGTTTATAATGTTGCGTTCCGGCGGCGCAGGCTGGATGATTTGATCCGATATGATATTAATAAGTTGCGAGGGTGCTTCTGAAGGAGATGGAGCAGTTGGACGTGATCGATGTTCAATTATTATGTTTGAGAAGGGCTCTGAATGAGAGGTTTGCGTGGATGGAAAAAATCTTTGAGTGTTTGGGATAGGTTCAGAATAAACGGTATTAACTGATGTTGGCCGACTCGGAATGTCTTGGAATTGAGTAGATGGCGTATGTTGTGCATATGTGGTGGCCATTGATGAAGGTCTAGAATAATATTGAGGAGATGGTGTATGACGTGCGTGTGATCTTTGGTTGATTCTGCTTATAAACAACCCGTCTATTTGGTACATAATAAGTTTTCGTTCATCATTTGGCAGTTCGCGTAGCTTTATAGCTAAATAGCTTTGCGTATAAATCGCAATCATCGTCTTCGTGAGCTGGTCTACATTCACTTCGCCTTTGTCTTATATCATTTGTAAGTTGTTCGACTGCTGTGGCCATTTGCTTTTCAGCCGTTTCAGTAACACGGCGACGACGTTTATTAGTAGATGTCGATGGTCGGGATGGTGTAGTGACCGTATCGGTATGGTCATCCTCTGTCTCTTCCGTTTCTTCATGTACAACATTTTGTTGTGATTGCTGCAAAAAATAACAATTATTAAAACATATTGTTACTTACAGTTCATTCTTCTTTTCTTTTCTTTTTTTTTACAGATGCCCACCACAGCAGAAGAATGGCTTAAAATAGAAAATGGATTCAGGACCAAATTTCCACATTCCATAGGTTCATTGGATGGCAAGCATATAGTCATAGACAGCCCATCTCATAGTGGAACAGAGTATTTCAATTACAAGAAAAGTTTTAGCATTGTCCTTTTGGCATTAGTGGATAGCCAACATAAATTTATATTCGCAGACATAGGGAGTCAAGGAAGAATAAGTGACGGTGGAGTTTTTAACAATTCGTTATTATGGCAAAAAATCTCTAATAACGAGATAAATTTTCCCTCGCCATGTCCACTTCCAGGATCGAATATAAATGTGCCTTACATATTTTTAGCTGACGGTGATTTTGCATTAAGTAAACATGTAATGAAGCCCTACCCTGGAAACCATGACGTCGGTTCACCAAAAAGATTATTTAACCAAAACTTATCCCGCTCCCGAGTTGCAGTAGAAAATACGTTTGGAATTTTGGAATTTGTCGAAACTTGCGATGACTTGTGTATTGCTACATAACTATTTGAGAACAAGTAAAAGTTCCTCAAATCGATATACTCCTCAGGGATCGTTTGACGTATATTATAGTAGTGGAAATATGGTGACCCCTGGTTCGTGGCAAAATGAAATCAATGGATATAATGCATTGCAAAATTTATCTTATGTACCACGAAGATCTCCGCTGAATGCCAGACAAATCAGAGACGAATTTACTTCGTATTTTAGTAGAAATTGCTAAGTTCATGAAAATTAAAAATAAAATTATTATAAATAAATGTGGTTTCATTGATTTAAAATAAACGTTGCTTTTTACTTACAGTTTCGGTATTTATTCCATCAATGCAAGTATATACTGGTAGTAAAAAAGACTCCATCATTTCGTAAGCAAACCGAGTTGGTTTATATATGTCTTCACCACCTGAAACAAAAGATAATTTTAAAACTACTTTTAATAATACAAGTAATAAGAGCAAAGATACACCTTGCTTACTTAATTAAAATAATAAACACTGTACATACCTGCGCCAGAACGAATAGAATCCTGTTTTTTTAAATGCTTTCGGAAAGTTGTCACCAATATTTCATTTTTGGATTTTAATTCCTTTACTGGCTTCCCCATTAACTGGGCAAGACGACTCCAAGCATCTGCAACTTTCTTTTTATCTTTGTGGTTAACATCTTTGGGGTTCCAGATACACGTTTCGGTCTGGTAATATTCCAAAGACGATAAACTATCTTCGTTCGACCAGGCACTCATTTTGAAGTCAGAACTAGACGTGCGTTCGTCGCGTTATCACAACGGCTACTAAGCGTGCGCCAACGTGTGAACGCATCGCAAGCGCTTGCCGCAAGCGCCCTTTGATCTGTGTCCAAAAACCGACACTAGACCGGATCGGACACAAGCGTCCACAAGCTCACGCAAGCCAAGCCAAACACCCTCGTTACACGCTTGTGTTTGTGGACGCTTGTCAAGCCTTGGCAAGCATGGAAACGCACCTTTATACAAGCTTCAAGGTTAGGCGACGTGTCTGGTCGTCTCGCCAGTAGCGGCGTGGCAGGGTGACGCTAGTACGCGTTCCAACAGAATGGGAGAAAAGGAAATGCAGATAATATGTGGACCAAAGAAGAAAAATAGAATGGAATAAACAGATAGAAAGAATGACAGAAAATAGAACAGTACGAGTGGCAAGAGAAAAATTGCCAAATGGAAGAAGATCAATGGGACGACCGAGGAAAGGTCTGACAACATCAATTGAGTCTAAAAACCGGAGTAAAACAGGCATGACCCTATTAATAAAGTAGGAAGAAGAAGGAGAAGACTCCTGTTCCACCCCGCAACATATATGCAGGTTGTACATTCAGCTTGCTCCATCATATGAAGGAGAGTCTAAGGCCGCGGTCATATGCCAAGACGATGGGTTGTGCAACTTGCACCGTCTTCATTACACAGTGATATCGCGATGAACATCGGTGGATTTCTGCCGGAGCCGCGCATTACACACCAGCAGAGCTCCAGAGTCATATTACAGACTTCAAGGTGCGTAAAGCACCTGGAGAGGATCAAAATTAGACGCTAGAGTAGACATCCACTTCAAGAAAGGTCTGTCATCAGATGCTACTTAGTATAATATAGCGATATTCAGGCCGCCAACTTCAGTCTTGTTATTTCCGAGGTTTTGCATCTAAATGAACAAGAGCAGCTTTAATATGATACCTCACGTCCAAACTTTTGTCACATTTGCATTTCTGCAGAGCGGAAATTTAAATTAAAGTGAACCAGAAAAGGGGAAAGAACTAATAAGGAGAAACTACGTGCTTATGTGACCGTTCAACTTCAAACAGCTCCAATCCTCACTATCGCCGACTAAACTTTCTCGCTTAAAACTTCACACCTCATAGCAACTGTGCGAGTTTCGGATATTACACGAAAAAGTGTGCTCATTCCCGCAAGTTTTTCACGTAGCAAAGTCGGCGCTAGGAGTTGGGAAACTTTGAAGCTGATGACATCGTTGCAAGCGTGCGAGATATTTCTTTACGACAACGTATGTTCCTGAAAAAGACAAATTGTCGGCGCTGCATAGCGGGATGCTACGAGAGAGATGATAGTAAGTAGGACAGTGTGTGATTATTATACCCCAAGTATAACTGCAGCGATCGATTACTCGAAAAGTTAACATTAGACAATTACAAAAACTTCCTGTTGCATTGGAGGTATACAGTAGTAGAACAACATCGATTCTAACTCACTTGGTAACCCATCCATCAGGTTCTGTTCTGTTTGCCCTCTATTTGACCTTGGGCATCTGAAGACTTTGCAGACATGCAAGAAGTGTATCGCCAATGACCAGAGGGTGAGATGTGCCAAAACGTGACGTCATGTATGCATAAAAAAAAAAAAAAGGCCTAAATACCACGTGACCCACAAAAGTGAGTAGTAGTGATTGAGAAAAGCTTTATGCATATGCAAGAGACAAGCCTCGCCTAGCCAAGCCTAATTAAATCATCCTCTAGTCATAATAATAATAATACTAATAATAATAATATGGGAAGTAAATGAAACGACGGTGGTAGTATGATATTAATATATTTAATCGTATATAAAACAACTTATATCTGAATCTGCGAAATGATGGAATGTGTTTTTGAAACTGTTGATAGAATATGTTTTTCTATTGAAAATAATGTATCCCTGTCGAAGCAACTGCCTTATATTGTATTTTCCACAGTACATAATTGTACCTTTTCGTTTCATTGTGACTGGATAATAGTTCAGATCTTGTCCAATTACATATCCAATTGTTCGATTGTATTGATTTTTAATTTCTGTGTCGATGGGAATTTTTTTCCCTGAGTAATAGAATGCTGGATACGACTTTAATTCTGTTCTTCCATAATTATGTAACTCATACAGGTAGAAAACTCCGTCTTCGATGTTGAATATCTGATCAGCAACTACAACTGGTTCATTCTGGTAGCACGTTGTTAGTGTAAAAAACTGAATGGCTAAAACAGCAGCAGCAATTTCAACTAAATCCAGACAATTCATCTCTGAGAGTGTTCTTCCTTTGAATGGTATATATGTATATATATGTATTAAGTCTCATACTGTCTTTTTATATTGTCCGAAAGGGTAGGAGGAGGAGGAGGAGGAGAGATAAATATTACTATTCTTCATTAACAGCCAAATTGTAAACGTTTCACAAACAGAACAATATTGCATTTTTCTTTGTCGTATGTTTGTGTATTGAAGAGTCACTTGTATGGTGAACTCAGTATTTTTCCAGCATGAAACGCAAATATATGAAGGCATTACTTGTTGATGTACTAATCACTAGCAGCGTATTAATCAACAGCATGAACCAACTAGATTATTATAACTAGTAACGCAAACGATTAAATATATCAGTTCAGTTATCACTCATGTGCTATGAAGTACTACGGTGGTGAAGGCTTACTGAATACAGCTATAAATAATTTACCTGTAGAATTACACATCCCAACGTACAGATACTGTGGTCCTGGCACTAAACTTGCTGAAAGGTTAGCCAGAAATGATCCAGGTGTGAACGGATTGGATGAAGCTTGTAAACAACACGATATATTTTATTCAAAAGAAAAAGATCTGAGTAATCGGCATTTGGCTGATAAGGTGCTGGCAAAACAAGCAATGAATAGGTTTCGTGCAAGTGATTCGTCTTGGAAGGAGAAGGTCGCCGCTTTAGCTGTAGCAGGTGCTATGAAAGCTAAAGTAAAACTTGGAATGGGCTTAAAAGAAACCTCTCAAAGGCACCAAAAACGTAATATAAACAATTGTTTGAAGAAATTACATAAATTAGCGAAAGAATTAGAGGGGTCTCAAAAACTGGTTCAAGACTCTGTACAGATCCTACAAACTGAACAATCTCAAAAAGCTCAAAAAAATATACTTGCGAAGGTTAAGGAGAAAAGTAAATCTAGTGAGAAAAAAGTACGAGAAGTGAGAGAAATCAAGAAACACGAAACCAAAAATAACTCTGTAGTAAAACATGAAACATTCAAAGTAAAGCGTGAACGAAAAACAAAACCTAATGTTAAAGAGAATAAACGTGGCAGAAAACCAAAGTCTGCTTTAGAAAGCATAAATGAAAAAATCAAGAGAAGAAAAAAACCAAAGACTCCAATTGAATACATGGACATTGATATAACAGAAGAAGGACAAAAGAACAAACCAAAAAAGAGGAAACTGGATTCAGCCTTTACTACTACTCGTACTTCATTGAATGATGAAAAAGTGAAAAAAAGAAAAATAGATTTGGATGATCCAATTATAATTCCTGAGAAAAAATGCAATACAAAACGCAAGAGAGAATCTGATAATGAAGAAAACGAACAACAACAACGCAAGTTAGATATGAGTGACGTAATTCCACATCCATGGAAACAAAAAAATAGAAAACGGAAGATTCAACCAGATAATGATAATGATCGTTATAATGATGATGATGATGATGATGATGATAGTAACATACCTAGGAAAGTTAAAGTTATAAATACCTAGTAATCTGCACATCAAAATTCAGTAATGAAAATGGTACGTAAGAAGAATGTCAGTCCTAAGAAAAGAGCTACAATTGACCGACAACAACAACAACAACAACAACGATCACAGCATCAGAAAAAAAAATAAAGACTAAGAGGAAAACGAAAAGTATATCGAGCAGTAAAATAAAAAGAAGGAAAGTTAGCTTTTCTAGCGCAATTAAACAAATAGGGAAACGTGTGGTAGATCAAAAACCTACTACCTTTGGAGAAGCAATACTTGTAGCGTTGAGGGAGGCACAAAATTTGAAAAAAGGTGTAAAAAAGCCGCCAAATCGTATAGTAAAGATACCGAAGAAAGGAGGTATACTACCACTAATCCCAATTTTTGCTGGCCTATCAGCCCTTGGTGCTTTGTCTGGTGGTGCTGCTGGTATTGCTAAGGCTGTCAATGATGCAAAATCCGCAAAGCAGCAATTACAAGAATCTCAACGTCATAATAAAATGATGGAAGCTGTAGCACTTGGAAAGGGAATGTTTTTGAAACCCTATAAAACGGGAATGGGCCTTTTCCTGAAACCATACATTAATTAAAACCAGTAGTGAGATAAGGGAAAATGTCACTGAAAAAAACAAAACAAGTGGCTAAAGTTTCAATTCCAAATGGTCACCCATTAACAAACGTTGAGCTGGAAAGGTATGCAAAACGTTTAAAAATACCGTATTTTCGAGGAGTCTTCATGCGAGATAAACTTCCAAAAAAAATAAAACCAATGAAAGAGGAATTATGAATTTGGATACATCTACGGGACCAGGTACCCACTGGACTGCTTATAAGAAAAAGGGAAACTTAGTGGTTTACCTGGATACATATGGAAACTTAGAACCACCATTCGAAGCAATTGTATATTTTAATTCTAGTGGACCCTGTAGAGTACAGTACAATTATAATGTATTTCAAAGATTTAATACTATAAATTGTGGTCAATTGTGTTTACGTTTTCTCAAAAGTGAATAAATACTGCTTATCATAATGACACTTGTTTATTTCATGTATGGCTATTAATCGGTTCATATCTGTATGATGTATACGTTTACTTTATCTGCTAGAGAGTCTGTGTTATCAGCTAAAATATATCCACCTATAGTACTCGACAGTAGTAAAACGTATGCTTTAGGACTTATTGATTTTTTAACTTTCAACACAATACCCAACATAGATATAACAAATAATAAGTTCCATATTGATGATGAGGTTTTAAACAGTTCCCGAAGGTAGTTATGAAATAAAAGACATTATAGCATTTCTTAACGAGAGAATAAAACCAAGGGTAAGTGAAATTAAAAAAAAGAAACCACAGAAACGATCTCTAAATTCAAATGCAATTACCAAAGATGATGAGAAACAAACTGACATACAACTCCATATGCGAAGTAATTTAAATACCTTACGGTTTGAAATTAAAAGCAACCGACTAATTGATTTTGAGCAAAATGGTACAATAGGTGAGTTATTAGGGTTTAGAAAGAGGAAATTAAGTCCACACAAACTACACATCTCAGATTTTCCTGTAAATGTTTCCAAAGTGAACTCTATATGTGTGGAATGTAATCTGATAACGAATTCTTTTAGAAATGATCATGCTGTTCACACGTTGCATATGTTTTACCCTAACGTGCCTAGTGGATATCGCATAATAGAAAAAGTATCAAATGTCATCTATTTACCAATAAATAGCCATTATATTGATGAAATAGTGCTTAAAGTAGTGGATCAAGACGGAAATTTGGTTAATTTCAAAGGAGAAGTGGTAACGATAAGAGTACATTTGAGAGAGCTTTAGTATGGTATTCTTTTACAATATTGCAGTACCGTTTAGTTCAGCTAACAACAATAGCACCAACAACAGCAATTTTAAAGGTCAAAACAGATCAACACCTATTGATAAAGAGATTCATGTTGGTAAAACAGTTAGTAGCAAACAAGAGAGCAAGACATTAACATCTGAAAATATACAATTTCTACAGTTGCTTGGCTTTAAGGTGATTGCATAAGTGTGGCTAACGAATTTCAAGAACAAACAGTCAATAGTGACATTAATAGTAGCAACAGCAGCAGCAGCAGGACTGCCGGATTGATATTACGCATAAAACTAGCAATTTATTCTGAACTACAAAAGTTATTCATCCATCTCAAGTGTAGCTGTTTGATAAAACAAAGAAAAAAGATGAGCTTTAATATTCTCAACATAGGTGAAAATATTCTTATGGATAATTCAATTACCAATTGTGAAATGCATAGCCATCCACCATACGCTAATACAACTTTCAATAATTCAGATGAAATAAGAATACCAATACAAACACAAGATATCTATACACTACCTTGTAATAGCTCACTGTACATTGAAGGAAGATTAGTAGAGGCAAAGGAGAAGAAATGGTCACCAACATTACGCCTCGTAAATAATTTTGTATCATTTTTATTTGATGAATTGCGATATGAAATTGGAGGTATAGTTGTTGATAGAGTTCGCAATCCTGGTATAACAACCACTATTAAAGGACTGGTATCTTTCACAAACAATGAAGGTAATAGTTACCAACATGCAGGCTGGAATCATCAAGACTTACACGAAATACGGAACAGTGAAGGTTATTTTAGTGTAACGATTCCACTGAAAAATCTCATGGGTTTTTTTGAAGACTTTAAAAAAGTACTAATCAACATCAGACAGGAATTGGTCCTTATAAGAAGCTCCACAGATGTGAATGCAATTATAACTTCAACATCTAGCGAGAAACCTCATTTAGATCTGTACAGAATACTATGGAGAATTCCACACATTCAAGTTGCTGATACCGAAAAATTACACCTTATGAAGTACATAGAGAAAGGAAGAGATTTACAACTAGCATTCCGGAGTTGGGAGTTGCATGAGTACCCCGTTTTACAACAGACAAATAAACATACATGGAATGTCAAGGCTACCAATCAATTGGAAAAACCACGTTTCGTTATTGTTGCTTTCAAACTGATCGGAAAGGACAGCTGACTAAAAACTTGAGTCACTTTGATCACTGTAACCTGAGCAACATCAAATTATTTTTGAATTCTGAAATTTATCCATATGACAATGTAACTTTTAATATGAGCAGAAATTATTTTAGTATCTTGTATGAAATGTATGTGAACTTTCAGCAGTCTTATTATTATAGAAATTCCAGTGAGCCGTGTCAAAACTTGAAACAGTTCATTGATGCAACCCCGCTTTTGTTATTGACTGTAGTAGGCAAACGAGACACTAAAATCGGGTTCTGTTGATATTAGATTGGAATTTGAAACGGCAGTAAATATACCACCTAATACTACTGCCTTTTGTCTGATATTACATGATCGTCTTGTAAATATAATCCATTAAATAGTACTGTAAAGTTTTTGAAAAATATGTTGAACTTGTATTGTATAGAAACAGTGTGTATGTGTGTATGTATGTATGTATGTATGTGTGTGTGTGTGGTTTTTTTTTCTGTGACTAAAACATTAGTTGTGAAGAAATCAGTTTTGTTATTCAAAATATATTTTTGATAATAACAGATGTCATCATCATCATTATCACCACCACCACCACCATCACCACCACGTCTACCAGTTGAGGTTGAGTGTGCTGCTGCTGATGATGGTGTTGCACCAACCGTATGCATCTGCCTGGGCTGCTCCTCATGCTCTTCCTCTCTTCCTCCTCATCTCCTCATCCTCTTCCACATGTTGCAGGACAGGTGGCTCTAGATACAATTTTCTCTTCTTCTGCATACTTCCACCACCATCACCACCACCACCACTTGTCCCTGGTCGATCCTTTATCGCTTGCTGCCTATTAATATCTTCTAACTGCTCGTCTAATAAATTAAATCTATATTTTTTAACTATTCGTTCTAATACTTGGAATTCTGCATCTTTATCCAATTTAGTTCGAAGATATTTGATAGGCAGCAAGCCGAATTTCCGCTTTAACGTCGCTGCTCTTGGGGAGTAGGTCAATTTGACAAATATTTTGTCACCACTGGCTTTGATCTCTCTGACACCGTATCTGTTGAAAAAAGAAAAAAGAATAAGAATAATATAATATGTGTATCTCAGACCTAAAAGTAAACTATTGTCGAATATCTGATTTAAATCTCCAATTGCAAATCGTGCAATTGCAATCAAATAAAACCATACAAAAAAAAAACCCTGTAAACTCATGTTTTTCTCGCAATAATACTTTTGTGACTTAACATAATTTAGCTCTGAGGATATGATGAATAGAACTTGATATCTACTGGCAGACCAGGTGATTGTTTTATTTCTTTTGGGATGCTTTAGAGTGTCTTCAAACATGATCCATCCATCCATCCACAACATTACCATAATGTGCGGAAGGACAACAATAATAATAACACAATAGCAATAGCAAAACAGTGGAGAGAGAGAGAGAGAGAACAAAAGATAAATATATAATGTTACTTACTGAAATAATTCCTTTATGACCAACAAGAGGTCATTTATCGGTAAATTCACTGGATCTTCCGTGAACACAATTATGGTTGTTGGTGTTGTTGCCATTGTAAGTTAGAGTAGCAGTTCGATGAGTTTTCACTTGAAACTGATACTGACTGCCTACACACACTAGCAATTTATACAGATATTTGAGGAAAAAATCATCCATATCAACTGCATAGAAATGTAAGATGGATGTTATGATCAAACAAAATCGTAGGATCCAGATTGCATGATACCCAATGTCAGGAGAAGGACGACGACGACGGTAATCATCATCTACGTCATTCTCCATATCAAGGGAAAAATTAGATTTTCTGCATGTGTGCATGTTTTCCAAACAAAAATTGATATCCAATGTCAGGACGAGGACGACGACGACGGTAATCATCATCTACGTCATTCTCCATATCAAGGGAAAAATTAGATTTTTCTGCATGTGTGCATGTTTTTCCAAACAAAATTAATTGATATCCAATGTCAGGACAGGACGACGACGACGGTAATCATCATCTACGTCATTCTCCATATCAAGGGAAAAATTAGATTTTTCTGCATGTGCATGTTTATCCAAACAAATATAGTATCTATTTATGTATGATTCAGTATCAGTGAAAAAATAGGCATGTTTGTTAGATTTTCACTGTATTTAAGGAAGCATCTTGAGCACAGTTATCATCAGTGATCTCACGTTTAACCATCTGCACAGATCTCCGAAGAAAAAAATGAGTAGCCAAAAGTAATCGATGCCATGTCTGACGAATTTGTTAGAAGAATAGAAATGGTGAGTAGATTAGTTAGGACAAAAACAGATTACAATTTTTATAGTAAAGAGATTAAAAAATGTATTAGAATGCTTGATAATTGTATCAAACATAGGTATGATTGTGTTAAAAATTTTTCAAAAATAGAGTCTAATTTGTCACTTCTTAAGAGTTACCTTGCAATTTTCAGATGTCAAATAAATCGTAAAAACAAAAATAGAGAACTTGTTTGGGAAAATGTGGAATCATGCTTTAACAATAGAATTAAGTCAGCGCGTTATAGTTAATTTGAAAATAAAAGATCCAAAATTATTTTTCAAGAGAGCGTTCAAGTTTTGCGATACAAATAAGAAAACAGCTTGATACTTGTATGTTAAAATGTAACGTTGTTTTTTATAGTGTGTTCATTAAACCTCAGACTGCTGAAAGTCGATCAAACATTTTGCTACAAAAAATAATATAATCGATAAAAATACCAATTTAAAAGAGTGGTATAAAGTTTATGTCACTGATCAAGTTTTAACAAAATTAGAAGAATTCCAAGAACGTGATTCTGGATGGCCTTTGTTGGAAATTTTACATTTGAAAGTGAATATTAATAGATTTTGTCCCATAAATGTTGGTGTTTCAACTTATGTTCCTACACCAACATTTATAAAAAAGAAAAAAAGTGTCATCAATATTCAAAATAATGATAATTACTGCTTTCTGTGGTCAGTTGTAAGCGCGTTGTATCCTGCAGAAAAAAATGTAGCACGACAATCATCATATCCTCATTTCAGTAGAGTATTGAAATACGACAATATTAGATTTCCTATACATTTGAAAGATATACCCAAATTTGAGATTATGAACAAACTAGCGATAAATGTCTTCACACTCGTAGGCAATCGAATGAATGAAGTTGTACCATTGATACTTAGTAAAACTAATTTCACGCCTAAAATCAATTTACTTATGTTTTCCAATAATGATGTTTGCAATTGGAATGCTGACACTATTTATCATTTTGCGTATATAAAAAATTTGTCACGCCTAATATGTAGACAAATAGGTTGGAAAGATCACAAAAAATGGATTTGTGAAAGGTGTCTAAATTATTTTTCAAGTGAAGCTTATTTGAGTAAGCATTCTGAACATTGTAAACAGCTTAACAGCACTAAGATCGTTATGCCTAATGCAACTAATAATATTATGAAATTTAAAAACTTT